TACTGAAAGTCATACGAAACAAATACAAATGAAGTGAGCGATTGCCCAAAGGGCTACGATCGGTCGCCAACCTAGAAAATCACACTTTGACTCTCAAATTCACAATAACAAACCCCAAAAACTCTTCTCCAAATCCCGAAATAATCCTATTGCATTAACAACATCAACAACAACTACAATAACGATACAAACAAAACGATTCAATTCCAAGGCAACACAACCGTACCTGAAGCCAATCAAATAGGGTATATAGGTCCGGTTTAGACCATAAGTGTTGCATTCTCTCTTTATTTATCCAAAAAAAAAAGTGTTACATTCTCTCTCTCTCTGCTCTTTTCCTTTTCCCTCCCCACCCATTCCAGCCGACAGCCACCATTCCTACAAAAAAAAAAACGTTACATTCTCTCTCTCTCTCTCTGCTCTTTTCCTTTTCCCTCCCCACCCATTCCAGCCGACAGCCACCATTCCTACACCCATCTCTAGCCACTGGCCAACCCCTTAAATTTTTTTCACCTTTTCTCACAAAATGTCAAATCAAAATGCTATATTTGGGTCCCTAGAAGAAAGAAAAAAAGACACATATTTTTGCTATTGGTAAATCTTGTGCTATATTTGACATAATGTTTACCTATATATAGGCAATATATACCAAGCCATATGCCTTACCATTGGAGTAGAAATTTGAAAGCTTCGAGGCAAAATAGAGCAATAGTGAGCCGGATAGCACAACATTGAAGAAGCTCTCAGAAGCTATTGCTTTGCGAAACTGTCCATGCTAAATAGGCTAAAGCCTCTACTATGATTAGCAATAACGGTGTGAGCCGTGGACTCAATGTTTTGTGAAAAATGGAAAAAAGTGGTCTGATAATGAAGATAGTTCGTTTTGTGCATTAAATCATAATGGTAATGCAACAATATGAAAATGAATGGGCAGTCATATACACTTCGGGAAGAAAAATGAAAGTTGATTTTCCATGTGATAGATGTTGTCACAGTTGAAGGGTCATCATAAAGTCCATATTTTGAAGAAATAGAAGTGCATAGCTCTTTTTTCCCAGAAATAGTTTTTTCTTTTTACTAATTCGTCTATAACGTATCTATATTCAGTTTTATAACCACATGATATGAGTATGGAGTCTGTTATTAGAATTGAAAAGTTTGAACAATCAATAGAAGTTGATGTAAAAAGTAGATCTGTGACCTGTTTCTATGGTCTCTTGAATCCATGTTCGTGAATAGTGATCAATAAACATTGGAAAATAATGTGAATAGTTCTACTCAGCTAAACTAAAACTGTATCCACCACTACAGGTCCATTGGCATTGTGATGGGATCCAAGAACAAGTGAGAGAATTTGTAGAGACAAAGAATCAAAAGGTTTTAGAGAGAGAATATCTCAACATCATTTAAATGTTGTTCATCAAAATCATAAGTTGCAACTGCGAGTTTACAAAACATAGTGACACAGAGTTAGAGAGGAGAGAGACTGTGGCCTGTATATATAAATGCTATAGAGACAAGAAGTAAAGCTACCGAAATTTTACCCCTCAAACACGATGAGTTTCTATTCTCTGCCCTGTGTAGATTTTTATCTATCTCTTGATGCAACTATTTTCCACTGTTAATGAAGCCCCCTGTTGGTTCCTTGGGTTTTGATTCTAACCTTAATCCTCAGCCAACTCTTGTTTCTTGAGGCACTCAAATTAAAGACCACAATATTGATGAACAATGATGTTGCCTCCAATGATGATAAAGTTTCTTCCTCATAATTTTTACCGTCTTTCCTTTTTAAGCACTTGCCTCCAATGATGGTAAAGTTTCTTTCTTGCTTTCATGGAATCACATTTCTATCTTGCGATTTCATGAATCACATTTTTAACTTGCAATTTCACGAAATCACATTTTCCACTTGCGATTTTAAGTTTGTCACCGTGGGTCTTATGGTTGTGGTTTGTGGAAAGGTATTTGGCTCGGTCGGGGGAGTTTTTGGAGCATATCCTCTTTTGGGTGGGTTCAGGAAGTAGGGTGAGGTATTGGAAGGACCGTTGGTGTGGTGAAGTGCCTTTGGAAGTTCAGTATCCATTGGTTTTCTATCTTGCTGTGGATCCGGATGCTATGATGGCCTCTTACTTGGGAAGGGGTGGGGTTGGGAATGGGGTGGTTTGGGATATTGCGCTGTGTTGGTAGGTCTAGGATTGGGAGCTTGGCTAGTTATTGGATATTATGAGTTTTCTTCATGGGTTGCATATAGAAGGGAGGGGGGAGGATGTTCTAGTTTTGTTTGGGCTGTGTTGGCCAGTTATTGGATATTATGAGTTTGAGTTCAAAGGTGTTTTCTCTATGTCCTCTTTTTATCGAATTTTATGTAGAGGTGGGGTGGGGGAGTCTCTTTGGCGGCGGATTTGGATTACAGATGTTTCTTCAAAGGTGGCTTTCTTTGTGCGGTCAACAGCTTTTGGTAGGATCCTACAATTGATAATTTGGTTCAGCGTGGGCATATTTTGGTTAATTATTGTTGTATGTGCTGTGGTGATGCGGAATTGGTGGGTCATTTGTTGATTCAGTGTCTGGTAGCTTATCGTTTATGGATGCTTGTTTTTTTTTACTTTTGGAGTTATGTGGGTGCAACAGAAAGGGGTGGAAGTTCTTTGGAGTTGGAGTAGGGGGCAGGTTGGGTAGTGGCGTCGTAAGGCTTGGGTGCCCCTCTATGCTTAATGTGGTTGTTGTGGTTGGAGCAGAATCTTTTCACGGATTGCTCATTATGTATCCCGGTTAGAAGATAGGTTTTTGCGAGACTTGTGTGGTTGGGTGTCAGGGTGTGTGGATCTTAATTTGTTTATCTTTTTAGATTTCCCTGATGTTGCAATCGGCTAGTTGTTTTCCCTTTTTAGGGTTCCTATCTTTTGTATTCTTTAGCATCTTCTTGATGCACTTCTTCAATAAAATTTATTTATCAAAAAAAAAAAAATAAAATTGGCATTTTGTTGATTCAGCATAAAACCACAATTGGAACTTGCAATTTCATTTAAAATTGTAGATTCAAGTTGCAACTTCAAAAAGTGCTATATTAAGCTAAATAGTTTCATAAGTGACGTATTTTTATTAAATTGTTATTTAAATTCCAATTTTAGGCAAAACATCCCCTCTTTCCTCGGGTGTTCAGTCATGTTGGTTTACATGGATGATAGGTTTGGACTGGGTTCTCCCTAATGTCATGAATGATGCTCTCTTTTCTTGGTTATTTAGAGAATAGTTCTTGTAGCCATTGTTTTGTGTATATAGATTTTTACTAGAGGAATATGACGCATTTTAAAATAAAATATTTTTTTTGGCCTGGTTTCAGATATCTTTTCATAGTCGGGCCTATGGCTTTTTGTAAGAACTTGGTTGATATGGCAGACAGCCTCTACATGTTGCTGCCTTAAATTATTTTTATTTATAAAGCCAGAATTAGGATGAGTTAAAAAGGGAAAATGGACACCAAATCATTGTGAGAGCTAGTAGAGATGCCAATGCTTGTAGCTAGGTAGAGTTTTTTGGGCTGGTGAGTGTCATAAGCTATTTGAAACATTGGCGGTGTTTGACAACGGGGTGGGCAGGCTATTTTAGCCTCAAATAAGAAAAAAGTTGTGTAGCTTGACTATTTGAGAGGTAGAGAACCTCAGTCTAGTTGTATCTCATTAACTGGGTAAAAAGACTTTTTTACCCTTTCTTGCTCATATCCACAAAAGCAAAAAGTGAGAACTGATTATCATAACACTTCTTTCTCACACTACAGTTACAGAGAGACTCCACCACAGGTCACACTCTCCATCATCAACAATGGCCAAGAATCCAATCCGATTCGGAATCATAGGGTGTGCCAACATCGCACGCAAGGTGTCAAGGGCCATCATTCTCCCCCCCAAAGGCCGCCCTTTACGCCGTCGGCAGCCGCTCCATCGACAAAGCCTCGAAATTCGCTGCTGCAAACGGCTTCCCTCCTCTGCCAAGATCTACGGCAGCTATGACGCCGTCCTCAACGACCCCAACGTGGACGCCGTCTACATCCCCCTTCCTACCAACCTCCACATCCGGTGGGTGGTGTTGGTGGCGGAGAAGAAGAAGCACCTCCTCCTCAAGAAGCCAGTGGCTCTCAATGTCTCGGAATTCAATCACTCCCTCGCGGAACTGTTGCCTTCTATATTTTATTAATTTTTGTATGGGCAGTTTGGTCAATTTACATGCTACCATCATTTCAAACACATTTTTCAATACAACAACTCAAATAAAAATCTATCCTATCTTTCCAAACACACAAACTAAAATACTAAAACAGCCAAACAGCTTAAAAATAGCCACTTCCCAAACACCCACATTGTTGTCAAATAGTGAATCGTGAATCATAGTTCACTTTATTTAGCATAATATGTAATTTTATATATGTATACATATAAAAATGCATATAGTGTTTAAAATGAAATGAATATCAATATAACTAAATCGTATATATATACATATAATACCACTTATATAAATAAAATTAGTTAATTCTTTGCGAAAATGATGCCGTTTTATGTATTATGCAACAAGAATTGAGCCACTCACAATTGAATCATAAGATTCACTCAATTTAAGATTCAACTGCAAGACATCTCTCTCTCCCTCTCTCTCTCTCTCTCTCTCTCTTTTAAAACTTGTATCAAACTATATGAATCGAATCCTGAATCGTAAGATTCTAATAACCTTGATTTGAAATATTTTGAATGAGTAGTCGATTACACTCTGATTGTTTCTCCTTTTTCTTTTTGAAATTGATGATAGCCATCTATTTGGACCATCGAATAGATAAAAAGGAGTTTGGCTTCCTTCATAGAATTGTTTGTGTTTTCTAGTTTGAAATGTAATTTTAGATGCTACTGATCCGTTTAAGGCAAATCTATTATTCAAGTACTTTACATGTGGTAATTTTGCATAGTCATGTCTTCAATTAAGTTTTAACAAGTAAAATGTTTTTGCAGGGTGTAAGACGAGGTCAACAACCATCTAAGGTATCCAAATTTGCAGTAATCCTTGAGATTTCTATCATTTATGATTTTGATGCATGTCATGGGTTTGCAAGGTAGCATACTTGAATATGCATTGCATGCATACAATTGCTAGAAGGTATAACTTGTTGTATGGGCATATCTAGTGTTAGGGTTGCAAACGAACTGAGCCGAGCTTTGTTGAGCTCGAGCTCAGCGCATTTGCTTATCGAACTCGTTTATTGAGCTCGAGCTCAGCTCGATAATTTTTTTTTAAATATTATTTATATTATTTAAACAAAAATATTTAAATAAAAAGTATTATTTATATTATTTAATATATAAATAATATATTTATTATATAATTTAAATAAAGATAAATGAGCCGAGCTTGATGAGCCGAGCTTATGTGAGCTTGAGCTCGGCTCGTTTACTAAACGAACCGAGCTAAGCCGAGCCCTTAACGAGCTGAGTCGAGCTTGTTCATGAATAGCTCGGTTCATTTGCAGCCCTATCTAGTGTACGTCAGTTCTTGATATTTTGAATGAATTCTCTTCTAACCAAAAACTTTGATGAGAAGTACTTTTTGACCTTTTCTACCAAGCCAAATACAGGAAAAATTATTATTAATAGAATTACGTACAAAAACTTGTCATAGCTTAAAATACATATTGCATTGCTAAACTTCCTAATGCGCGTTGCCATAGTTAATTGATATTACTTTTGACCTTTGATCAAGGACTTGCTGCAGTTCGTCACAGAGAGATTTCCTAACAATTTAAAATTTTTATTTTTATTTCTTTTAAATATAAATTCAATTAGGATGCTTTTTGAACCATGTTGCATGACTAGTGTTTGGAAGCCTAGGATGAAGCCTGTGGGCTCAAAAGGTTTTTGGTCCCATAAATGCAATTGGTAGTTGTTATTGTTTCCCAAATAATATTAGGAAAAGTTTCTCAATTAGATTAGGTTTTTGATCTTGTATATATACATATATATTAGGGTTTAACAATGTAATGATGAGTTTTATGAATTAGAATTATTGAGAGTAAAAGGCTATGGCCGTGTGTGTTTCCCTCCTTCTCTTCTCTCTATTCTGTTCTCCATCACATTGCCTTGATAACAAAAGATGTGTGCCCAAATCCCACCAACCATAAAATTATTCAAAATTTGTAATACAATTTGGGTTAATTTCACTTACTACCCTTGAACTATTGCAAAATTATCTGTTTAGTTCCTGAACTTTCAATTGATTTGACTCTATTAAGTTCCTAAAGTATTTGCGAAATTATCTATATAGTCCTTGAACTTTCAATTGAGTCTATCAGGTTCTTAAAGCATTTAAATCAAAGCAATTGAGTCCCTGAAAAAAGTTGCTAAAATAAAACATAACCCCACAAGTTATAAAAAATTAAACGACCCTTGCATAGTTAAATTTGTATCTTACATCAAGTTTTTATCTTAAAAAAATGAGGAAATCAACTCAACTTCTATTTTTTAATAATATCAATTTTACACCCAAACTATTTGATGTTGGATCAATTTTTACCCCCACCATTAGATCCTGTTTATAATTAAACTGAAGTTGCTGACATGTCACCGAAATTTCGTTTGAAATTTCATTTTACCCCCAAACTATCTCTAAAATGTCAATTAGAACCCCAAGCCTCATTTTATTTAAGGGTCAAATTGATATTTTGGGGATAGTTTGGGGGGCTAAAATAAAATTTCAAATGAAGTTTGGGTGCCACTGATGTAGTTAGAATTAGTATGGTTATGTTTTTAGTACCATAAGAGTTAGTTAGAGCTAGTTGGGTCTTTTATCCTATACATAGGTGGTTAGGCCATTTTAGTATTCAATTGATGATATTTTGATATTGAATATTTCAGAGCTTGAGAACTGTTGTACCTATTTTGGGATTTTCTCTTTCTAATGAAGTCTATTTCTTGATTTGGCTTCATCAGCCACATTAGCAAATTTCAAATTTCAACCCTAAATTTCAAATTTCAAATTTAAACCCCAAAAGTTGACTTATTTTCAATCTAAACCATCTGCATATTTCCGTTAAGTAAAACTGACAGAAAAAATGTATTTTAATCATTAAACTCAATGTAGGTGTACATAAAATGTCACTCTTTTCATTGAATTTAATGACTATATTTTTTTTTTCCCCCTATCAATTTTACTTAATGGAAATAGGCAAGTGGTTTAGATTGAAAACAAGTCAAAAGTTTAGTATTTAAATTGACAAAATTGAAAACTCAAAAGTTTATTTTGTTACAAGGGTCAAACTCTGTTTTTTTTTTCTTTGTAATTTCCCTTTTTTTTTTGGGGTCTTTTTCTTGTGCCCCGGGGACATTTGTTAGCAAGACCCATTTTTATAGTATGGAAGCCCCAACAACAACTGATAGCATGAAAGCGGATGGATGCATTTCGTGAATTTCAAAAACTAATCCTATTTCGTTGAATGTAAATGCCATAAATCTTTCCTTGTGGCCTTCTCAAGGATAATAAATGTTTGCACTTATTAAAAAAAAAAAAAGAACAATAAATATACACCTGAAATCCTATGTAAAGCACTAAAGAGCCATTATCATAGGACAATCAGTGCATCCTTTATAGTGGTGATATTTGACTTTTATTTTTGATTTTTGTAATAAATGTCTTGTGTAGTTTTCAAACTTTTTGTATGCCTCCACCTAAGCAGTTAGTCATTTCCCTTCTATCTTTTTGTGTGTTTTCTTCACTATATGACTATATTGATATTGTAATTGTTGGTTACAGAATCATATTAGATATGAAATTCGTCAAAAGCGTGCCGATGCAAAGAGAGCTCTAAAAGATCTTCTCTTCAGTAGTGGTTCCTCGAAAATTACATTTCAGGTGGACATTGCTTAATTTATATTTGATAGAAACCCAAGTACCATCTTATATATAAGTTGATTGGGTAATAAATTATGCTTTATGTTTGGTGTATTTATTTCCTATTCGGCAAACTATTATCCCCTTGAACGGGCAATAAATTATTGTTTATATTGTATTTATTTCTTATTGGGCAAATTATTCTCCCTTGAACAATAACTTATTGTCACTTGGCTCTCTTGAACAAAAAATGCTACATTTTATCTCCTTGATCTATCAATTTGTATCAATATAAACCTTTCATTAACAATCCGTTACATAAATGGATGGAAAATTATCGTGTTTCTGCCCATGACAACTCAATATTGTGAAATACCTAAATTGACCTTGTTAATGAATAAGAGAGCATTTACAACAATGAGAGCGCTTAATCACTAGGGTTGGCTCCTCTAACTATATATATTGAACCAGTAATACTACAATGACATAAACACCCTTGACACTGGTGCATATATATCATATGTACCTAGCTTGTTAAAAATATACCACACTCTTTAGTAAATAAATTTGCCAACTAATCTTTTGACTTTACATGACTTGTACGAATTACATTCTGTGACAACTTTTCTCTAATAAAATGGCAATCAACCTCAATACACTTTGTTCTTTCATGGAAACACTAGATTGGATGCAATGTGAACTACTGCTTGGTTATCATATAACAGATTTATAGGATGTTGGTGCTCTGATCCAAGTTCCTCTAACCTATGCTTCAACCAAAATAACTCACATGTAGTATATGCAATAGCTCTATACTCAGACCCAACACTAGAGCAGGCCACCACGGTTTGTTTCTTACTTTTCCAAGATACCAAATTACCTCCAACAAATACACAATAGTTAGTAGTGGACCTCCTACGGATAGGGATCCAGCCCAATCTGCATCAGTATACCTCTCAATTCGAACATGACCATGATTTAATATAATAACCCATGACTAGGTGCACTTTTAAGATATCTCGAAATGTGTACAATAGTGTCCCAATTACATGTTTGAGGAACATCTAAAAACTGACTCACCATACTCACAGCATAAGAGATGTCTGGTATTGTAAGAGTCAAATAATTCAGCTTGCCAACCAACCTTCTATACCGCCGTGGATCTATTAACAACTGACCCTGATTTGCCATCAATTTGGTGTTGGGATCCATAGGAGTGTCAATTGGTTCAGACCCCAACTTCCCTGTTTCATTTAACAAATCAAGAGCATACTTTCTCTGAGATAAAGGGATTCCATGACCTGATTTGGCTAATTCAATGTCCAAAAAATATCTCAACTGTCCCAGATGTTTTGTACAGAATTTATTCTGTAGAATGCATTTCAACTCCTGAATACCAACACAATCATCACCAATAATCACAACATCATCGACATTCACAATTAACAATATCCTTTCAGCAACAGTATGCCTGTATAAACGATACAACATCAACATCAACATCACAGAATGTTCTACCCACATCAACATACTGTTTGGGTCTATATAGTGACTTCTTTAAACAATACACACTCAGACTTCCCCTGAGTAATAAACCTGGGAGGTTGCTTCATATAGACTTTCTCATGGAGATCACCACGTAAGAATGCATAAATCACATCCAACCGATGTAATAAAGGCCAATTGAATGTGCTTGCTAGGGAAATGAATAGACGAACAGATGCAATTTTGGTCACAGGCGAGAAAGTTTCAGAATACTCAAGACCATAAACCTGAGTATAACCCTTGACCACAAGGTGGGATTTCAATACGTCAATGGTGCCATTAGGATGAACTTTGACCGCATAGTCCCATCGGCATCCAACAACTGATTTTCCCAGAGGAAGAGTCACCAAGTCCCAAGTGTCAGTTTGTTTCAAGGAACTCATTTCCATGGCTTTCTTCCAACTAGAATGAGGTAGACCCTATATGACAGATTTAGGAAGAGGTATAGAAGATAATGTGACAACAAACAAGGAGTAGGATGGATAAAAAATGAGCATATGAAGCAAAACTAGAAATAGGATGTGAAGTAGTTCACTTACCCTTGCAAAGAGCAATAGGAAGATTTAGATCATGGGGTGGAGAATCTGGTGGACTGTGATCTGGTGACGAGGAAACCATTGGAGAAGCATAGATAGAGCAAGATCTTGGCTCGGACGACGCGTGTAAACCTATAAATCCGGGCAAGATAAACGCTCAGTAGGAGAAGAGGAGGTAGAATATGGACCAAGACTGGGAATAGGAAGTGGAAGATCATGGACCATATCAGTGGCGTCTAGGGGTGCGGAGTAATAAGGCGAGGACTCAGAGAAAGCGACATCCCAACATACAAAGAAGCGGTGTATAATTGGAATATAACACTGATAACCCTTCAGAGTGTGAGAGTAACCCAAGAAAACACAATTAATAGTGCGAGGATCAAACTCGTCACCACCTGGTGTAAGTTGATGTACAAAACTAACACTACTGAAGATACGAGGAGGTAAATTAAATGGAGGATCATGAAGAACAAAAGATGGGATAAGATTAATGAGATAACATGTAGTGAGAATCGCATCACTCCAAAAAAGTTTGGGAAAGTTCATTTGAAGTAACAAGGTGTGAGCAACCTCCACCAAATGTTGGTTCTTTCTTTCAGTGACCTCATTCTGTTGTGGGGTGTGAGAACACGAGGACTGATGAAGCATACCAAATTGAGTCATAAAAGACTCAAATGGATGAGAGAAATTTTCTTTAGCTTTGTCAATCAAAGTATACGAACAGGCACATTAAATTGGGCTTGAAATTCAGTACAAAAGGCACAAAAAATAGAGAACAACTTAGAATGGTCTTTCATTAAATATAACCTGGTAACCCTGGAGCAATCTTCCACAAAGGTGAGAAAATACCAAAATCCCAATTTTGAAGTAACATGACCAGGACCCAAACATTTGAATGAACTAACATAATTGGACTGGACTCACGTTTATTAACTCGAGAAGCAAATGGAACACAACACAATGATGCTTTCTTAACTGACTCAACTTACACTCAAACAGAAATGGAATGTAAACCAGTAACTAAAAGTTTCAAATTGTTGAATGATGGATTACTTAGTCAACAATGAAAGGAGATGAAACTATCGGATAGGCACAAGGGGAAACTGTACGTGCTTTATTGTCCTAGTAGTAGGGGCCACTTGACTCATGTCCTTCACCTATCGTCTTCTTTGTCACCAAATCGTCCATGACAATCGAATCAGGGAAAAACGAAATGGAACAGTTAAGATTTCTGGTAAGTTTGCTCACAGACATCAAATTAAATGGAAAAGAATATAAAGAATAGAAGATAGAGATCTGATACCCCGAACAAAAGTAGTAGAACCATCAGCTAAGGTAACTTGAGGTGAAGAAGAGGAAGGTTTGAGATGAGAAAAAAAATATGAGATATACCTGACAAATGATCAGTTGCGCCAAAATCAAGAATCCATGGACGAGGACAAGAGAAAGAGAACAAACAAGCAATGGAAGTGTCTGTATGAGCTAACAATGCAACATGAAGAGATGCTTGCAAGAATGCTTGATTCTGAAGAAACTTAGAGTAGTCTGCCTCCAAAACAACCATAGTTTTCTCTGCAGTAGAAGAAAGATGATGAGGGAGAATCTATACGATCAGTAGTCACTGGATTTGCAAACAGAGTAGGCTTGCCAATTAGATCCTAATATTTCTCCTGTGTTTGAGGTAATGATTGTGTCATGTGGTGTAATGATGGAGTCATGTTCAGGCCACAATGAAAACACCCACGGGAACCTCGACCACGTCCCCCACAACTATGACAAAAATTACCACCATCACCACGACTAGCACCTCCTTGGCCACCACTGGAACCAGTATATTGAATACCCTTGGAAGTAACCATGTTAACAGCTAGACTGAGTATTCTTACCACTAGAATTATGTTGCGAAACTAGGGTAGAACGATCTGGAGTAGGTGCTATAAGACTCTAAGAACTATCCCAAGAGGTAGATGAAAAAACCTAAAATACACCTCAACAAGGGGTGGAATCTCAGCACCAACTGAAACCTGAGACCAAACTGACTCAAATTCAAGTGTTAATCCAATGAGAGATTTCATCACAGCCATTTGTTCTTGCTATTGTTGCATTTTCTGGACATCAATAGTAATCAGGAGAACGACATTCAACTCTTCATGTATCTAGTTGAATGCAGCTAGATAGTCTGTATTCAATTTGTTAACTTGGTGTAATTGGAAGTAATGAATGGACAAATCATACATGCGAGTAAGGTTACTCAAATATAACATGTGTACATAGCAAATATCCTTACAGAGTATCCAGATGAGTACACATATCAACAACTTGAGGCTCCATAGAATTCCATAATTGAGCAACAATTCGAGCATCTTCTTGATCCCATTCATCCTTTTTCTTCTCGTCTTTTGGAGTAGACTCAATAAGGTGGCAGTGTTTTCCCTGACCTGACAGAGTAACCTTCACTACCTTGGACCAATGTAAATAATTAGAGCCCCATTTAACTTATGAGAGGTGAGTTGCAAAAGGTGCATAGAAGAATCCATACCAAATAAGGAACCAAATAATGAACCAGAACATGACGAAACCACCCCAACACGCAATGAATAAGTACACTACTACTTGCTAACGCTGAACAAATAGAGACAACTAGGAGAAGAAGCCGAGACATTACCATGGACTAGGCTGAAATTGAACAAGGGTAAACCATGAACCAGAACTAGAACCGAACTCAAACTGTAAGTGGGTCGGGTTGAACCATTGCTGGGTCGAACCAAAATCTTGGCAAAACATGACTTGAGTTGAACCAGAGGTTAGGTTGAGAACTAGGTCAGTCGAACATGACTTGAATCGAACTAGGTCAATCGAACATGATGAAACCCGAGGCCATAAGGGACCTTCAAATGTGAACTATATGATGCAAACACGAGCTGGATCGAATATGATTTGGATTGAACTGGGTTGAAGTCAATCAAGTGGGTACAAGGCTATGAACTGAGACGACAGTGACCAGGGTTGACGATGTCTGTTGACTGTGCAATGGCAACTAGGGCTGATGATGGTCGTTGACGGCACTAGGGCTAAACACGATCTATCTTTTTATTTTATTATTCTTTTTTGAAGAAGAATATAGAAGAAAGACAAAAGAAAACAGAAGAATAATAAGTAAATTTTCATGATCTCAAGCACAACCTACTCTAATACCATGTTCATGTAAAGAAGAGAGAGTTTAGAAGAATGAGAGGGCTTAATCACTCGGGTTAGCTCCTCTAACTATATATATTAAACCAGTAATACTACAATGACATAAATAACCTTAACTGACCTTATCTTGAGAAAATATAAATTAATTACCTAATGCTCAAACTGCCCTCGCCTTCTCTCCCTATTTCCACATTGCCCTACCTTTGCCTCCCCTTCCTTTCTTCTGCAGACCCCATGACCACAAACCACCACCTTCGTCTCCGTCCCATGTATCTACGCAACTCCTACCACCCACAAAGCACACCTCCCTCTCCTTGCCCTCTCTCCCCAACAAACAATATTTATGAAGTTCTAAGAGGAAGGATTGCATTAGTGAAAGCAATGGAAATATAAGACACTTTCAAGACATCAAAAGAAAGAATACTTTTTGATTTTCTGTATCCTGATTGTATACAACACTGATACAAGAGACAAATAAAGAAATAAGAAACTTTCAATCTAAATATGAGAACATAAATATATGATAAAGAACTGAAGTTATAAAAACAAACAAACTCAATCAAGAATTCCTCAATAGTATCTCAACTGATTCCTAGCTAGATATGCTGCATTTTCTCAACAATGCTTTCTCCCACAACCTCAATCATTGAAATACAATATTAACCAATAGTGTGAAAGGTCATTATCAAAATTGACTGCACAAAAGCAATATCTCCTAAATAGATAAATGGGAAGGTTTTTGTTGAACGATTTGTTGACAATAGCAGTGACTGACTAGGTTTGTGCAACAAGTGAGACAAGTTTTCTATTTTGATTTAGCGACTGTGGTGGAGTGTGGGTGGCAAAGATGGGGCTATTAATGGAGAAGAAAAATACAGAGGGGAGGAGGTAGGGATATCCAAGAGAGGGGGAGGGGTTGGCTTTTGGATCAAGGCATGTAGGTTGGGTATGATTGGGTGTTGTCAGCCACACCATTATCCAACCATTTTATCTTCTGGGGGGAAAAAAAAAGGGTAAAATAAATATATGAGATTAGAAATGTATTTTTCATTGTTATTCTAAACGTATTAGCAAGGTGCAAGGCGAAGCGTAGGCTATATTGAAGCGAGGCTCATGTTGACAATAATAAATAGATAAATTGATATAAGCAAATAATTTAAGATTCAGTATAAGTAAAATGTTATATTAAATTTTTTAAAGCATAAATACAAACAAACGCCAATATTTTATCGTAAAGAGATAATTCAAGGTTGAACATTAACACAATCATCTAACTCATAAATCATAAATATTTGAAAATAGCAATGAAATTGAAGTGCCTTGCAAGATAAGCATAGAGGAGGAGAAGGAGATTGAGGAGATGAAGAAGAAAAATAACGACAACTGTTAGTCTGGTCAAAGAGAAAGCTCTATCCAACCAACATCCTTGCATAATTATGGCTTAAAAAGTGTTGGGTTGCAATGTATGTTTAAGGGTTTAATCCCTTGTAGCAGCATGTAAAAAAAAATAAAAAAATAAAATAAAAAAAGGGTAGAGATTAAATGAATTCAAGGGTCGTAATTGTAACAAACAAATATTTTAAAAGAAGCGCACAAGTCGTGCGCCTTGAGCCTAAGCCCAATGCACATGCTTCATGCGTTTTTATGGGGCTTGTTTTACACCGTCTGGCCTAAGATGTTCCAAAGCGCATTGATTGCACCTTGATGAGCCTTGGGCCTAGGCACATGCTTAGGTGCGCCGTTAATAACATTGAGGGAAATGTGCGACTTTTTTTAGTTCAAGGGGGCAAAGTGATAATGAACTATAGTTGAAGGAGCTAAAGTGTAATTTTCCCTTTCTTCTTTTGTCTAGGGTATGGTTGTTACCCAATTTCATGTGTTTTTGGAAATTTGATGATTAAGTTTTGTTGTAGATAATACATTTGTTGGCACTGAATTTGGCCAGATAGAACCTTTTTTTTTTTTTTTTAGGAGGCAAGGGTGGGGAATTTATCTTCTTGGTTTCACCAATAAAATATAGGTAAAATTGTATTTAAATGGGGAACAACTCAATAATTGCACTTTCATGGAGGTGCAAGTTGAAGCAAGTAAGAGTTGTGTCTCATGCCACATTGTTCACTTGCACCAAGTGAGCCACATCTTTCACTTGCACCTCCGTGAAAGTCCAATTATTTTGAGTTTGTTCCCATTTAAATGCAATATTCTCTAAAATATAAAGCATTCAACGTTCTTATAAGCAATAAACTTCTCATCTTTTTGAGTAGGAAACATATGCGTGGACTCTTGATATTTCAAGAATAATTATAATTTATAATTGTTCAGAACTTGGGCAACTGTTAGTCCCGGGGTTTCCCATATTCAATACTCCAATAGAAAACCAGGCCCTAGGTTTATGCATGTCCATTACATTATCACTTAAACAAGTCTTAATTTATTATCTGCCTGCCAGTATTGTGGTTCTTACTTTTAATATATTTGGTTGCTGATATGTTGTGCTCATTATATTTTCCCTCTTATGGTTTTACCTAGGATCACTTTCCAAAACTGGATGGAACAACCAGCTGGAACACAGAGCATGCTGATCATTCAGACATTTCTGGCAAAAGAAGTCGATCAAACACTTCTACGCGCCATTCCAGTAAAGCTCAGCACAAGAGAATGAAACGTGAGACATTTATTTTTCATTTACTTCTTTCCTTATCTTATTTCATATGTTTATTGGGTGCCTTTTATTTACTACCCTTGCCTTTAAATTTTTTTCTTGTAAGGTTTAAGGCTAAAGTGCACTTTGTAGATTATCTTACTTCACCCCAGTTTTACTTATACTGGAACACTTGTGTTAGTGTCATGATAATCGGACTATCCTACTATTTTCTCTTTCTAAAATTGATAAGACTATATTTTACTTAATTTGAAAGCTGAGTGTCGTTGTGACTAAAATTGAGAATAATATGTTCCTAGTGGAACCATGTAAGAATTTGACTGTTGTCCAGTGTTTGCAAGGCAAAATTTGAGGGGCTTCTAATATGTAGTTTATAACCCCATTAATCATAATACCTAGGCGTTTGAGATTTCTTGCTAGAGGCAACATGTGATAATTTCTATCTTATTTATTGATGATGCATGTGCAAGTACAGATTATTTCTATGTTTATGTATCTGTAATTTCATGTATCTATACAATAATTGTGTGTATGCATTTTTTAATTATAGCTACCTTGTTTAGTTGGGCAAGAAATTTATACGCATTGTTACGTGCCTAAATTGACCTTGACAACTTATGTGTAGTTTTACATATAAAAAAGGCTTTAAGAACGTGAAAATTAGTCATAGTTGTTGTGAAAATTAAAAGAGAGCGTTGAATTGGTTTAACTCTTAACAACTTAACATTTAGATGGTAAAAATTTGAAAATCTGTTTGCCTCATAAATCAGAAAATTTAGCAACGAATCTATTGGGAATACATTGATAATCCTCTTGCATGTTGAGTCAATTGGACAATGATTGATTGCATCTGATTTTGATGAAACTATTGTGTATATAAGCAAGAAAGCATTGAGGAATTAAGGGTTCGTTTGATTAGTATGAAAAATATTATGGAAAGTGAAGTGCTAAGAAGCACAGACACAGATACGGATGTGGACACGAACACGGATACGGCGATTTCAAAAAAATGGGGACAAGGCAATAAAATATGTTTTTATATTTTTTTATCTGCTATCTAGATAAATATTAGGCCTCATTTGGCAAGTAGTTGTTTTAGGCTAAAAGTCAAAAAGTTACTAAAAAAATCAAAAAATCTATAATATATACCAAAAAGTCAAATATTCCCTTTTCTCTCTATTTTTTGCACATTTTTTCGTAAAAAGTCAAAAAGTCATCCCAAACATACTAGTTTTTTTTACATCATATTTTAGCCAAAAAGTCAAAAAGTTACTAAAATAGCCTGTTCCCAAACATGGCCGTACATCCACAAACAATTAATATTAACAAAAACTAACTCTAATTTTATTTTTTTATTTAAAAAAAAACACTTTTAAATTAACACTTACAGTTTATATCTTTTTTTATAGATGTCTATTAAGTATTTAAATCTAAGAAAAAAAATAATAAACATTCAACATTCATCAAAAATACTAAATAAAATGGGAGAAAAGACAACTTGGCATGTCCCTAGTCTTTTTTTTATAGGTGATCTATTAAGTATTTAAATTTAAGAAAAAAAATAATAAACATTCAACATTCATCAAAAGTACTAAATAAAATAAGGGAAAAGACAACTTGGCATGTCCTTAGTGTGTCCTGAAGTGCTCCCGACTTGTCTCCTGAAAATAAATTAATTAAATAAGGGGACATGCCATGTGGTGTGTCTCATACGTGTCCCCAAAGTCTCTGTGTGTTCAACACGGATACGGCACTTGTTTTGAAGTGTCGGTACTTCATAGGTGAGGTGAAAGGAAAGTGATAGGAAAATTTATTTTCTTATATGTATTTAGTTAAGATGATTTATTTTTATTTTTATGAGAAGTTGTAAGAAATTGAAAAGTGAGATAACCGTTGGCTACTTCCATGAGAGAAAAAAAATCATGTATTTTTTTGCAAGAAATTGAAAGCAATGTTTCTATGTTGATATGAGTTGTATAGGAACTAACTTGCATGTTCCTCGACTCTCATGAAGCTTCATTTTTATTTTTATTGTTCCCGCACTTTCCACCTTTTTCATCCTAACCAAACTCACCCTAAAGGCTTAAGTTGATGAAAGAAATCAGAACACAAGACTATCTATATCTTCCTTCTTAAGGTGGGGGATTTTCTTTGCCTTCTGGCAAGGAAACATCGAAGGGCAGAGCAATATTGATTCTTTAATTTGAGTCTACAATTTTGTTTTCAAGGGGGATTTCATCAAGATCAATAACTACAACAAATCCAGGATTTAAATAATTTGCATTTCTTGTTTATGGCTATCTGAGTGGTACAAATCGGTTGAGATTTCTTAGGTTTTGTTGAAATTTAATCTGCTGCTCTTTGCTGATACTTCTATGTTGTTTGCTTCATACATCTGTTGCCCAAAAAAATATTGAAAAAAGAAAAGAGAGAAACATGAAAAAAGGAAAGAAAATCAGTGACAAGAACTATAGCTCTTTTCAATCTTTCAGTAGGTTCATTATTTTATCTGTTTTTAAAATCTTTTCTTCACTTGTATACTGCTAAATTTAATGTTTGCTTTTGTTTACACATTTAGGTAAGGCTAGACAAGAGAGTTTCTCTGATGATTTTGACGGACATCATGAGACAGTTTTTCAAGCAACATTTGGAAACAGATGGTATACTTGGTCATTCAAGTCATGGGAGGAGTCCAATTTTCACACATCAACAAATGGATTTGAGTGGAGGGGCCATCCAAACTGGAATAACAGTAGAAATAGAGAATGGCAGAATGCAAGTGATATCGAATCTGATGATGAGTCATGCATCATTGGTTCATCTTCTGAAAGAGCAATACTTGGTCTACCCTCAAGAGGTCCTTTGAAGATAGAAGACGTAAAAAATGCGTAAGTGCTTGAATATCTTTGTTGCGCTTTGAGTATATGCATTAGAGAGATGGTCTTTGTGATTAACATTCAACCAGGTATGTTCTCATTATTTAGATCGTTCATAGTTCAGCAATATAACTTTGACAGAACTCCTTGCAGTTTTCGCTTATCAGCTTTAAAGTGGCATCCTGATAAGCATCAAGGGTCCTCACAGGTCAGTTTGTGTGCCTTCTGGTTTCCAATAAATCATTTTTATTGTTCAAGTGAGGGTATATTGACATAGTGGGGAGGCTGACTTCTATAGGTGTTAATCTAACAACTAACAATTGACTTTCGCCGATCAAAAATATATATATATATATTGAGATATTCCATAGTTTGTATTACTAGATATGAACCCCACCCAAAGATATTTTTAAGAACTTAATTTGTCTTATTTTATTTAGGATAATGACTTAATTTGTCTTATTTTATTTAGGATAATGGGGGGGATTCGAAATCTGACCCGATCAATTGGGTGGAGTTCTGAACATCATTGTACTACATGGCATGGTGGTTCTAAAACTATGCATTAGATGACATACCTAGATTTGTTCCTTTTAATTTGTGGAAGCTTTCGCAAAATATGCATTTTTTTTTTTTAATATATTTATTTTGTCTCATTTCAAATTTGTGTATTATGTGCTATGGAGCCGTTTGTTACAAGATAGCTATGGATTTGTTGCAGGCAATGGCAGAAGAGAAATTCAAACATTGTGTCGATGCATACAGATCACTATGCAATGCACTTTCCTCAGCTTAAACTATCTAGGTATTCTTGTTCTAATTCACATTCCTCTTAAGAAGGTTTTCCTTTCACATTAACCTCTGATAGCAAATATGTTTACAACTTTAATTATTTCTATTCTCTTCAAAAAAATTAAGTGCAAGTTGTAACCCTATGAAGCATGGGTACTCAACAAAAATGCCGTAGTATACTAGGTACTTATAGGCTATGGTACTTCGTATGGTATTTCTGCATACGTATTGGGTACATGAAACACGTACTCAAATTTTTTTCTTAATTTTTGGGGTATCCAGATGTACCTAGTATATTCCCAAGCTGTATTGTATTTCAGTCGAAACAATATTTTTTTCTACTACAGAGACAAAATTCCTTTCACTAGACTTATTTTTAATTTTAGTTTTGTGCTTAGCATGATTTGAAAATTAAGTTATGATTTGTAAGTTATTTAATATATTGACTTTTAATTTTGGTTTATATCTTTACTTTTGACGTTAAATGTTAATTGTAGGTTGGATCTCAACAAATTAAACCATTTAATTAATTTTTGCATTACTCCAAATTAAAAATAGATATTTTTTTACAAACATACCAAGTTGTACCTGTATCCTACTTTTTTTGGATTTTATCATATCGACATACCCATATTGTACCCATACCTATGCGTCCTGGTTGTAACCATTTAAACAGGTCTGGTGTGGGGAACTAGGTTCCACAACAAATGGTCTTAGGCCTTTAGTTTTTTTTGAGTAGAGCATCACTAACTCAAGGGAAGGGGAGGGAATGGTGGGTTTTGAAACCCAGCCACAAGCACAACATTGGAAGTCCCTAACTACTAGTACAGCCGTTCACTTGGGCTTTGGCCTTGGTTGTGCAGACATGAACACTGCATCACCAAAAACAGAAATTTGATTTAAAGAGTTTAAAAGACGTATACCATTTATTGATGAAGAGGGATTGACTGGTGTTCTGAGGAGATAAGTTTGTGTTTGTTTACTGGCACCTGATGATATGGGAGGATCTTGATGCCTCCCTTGAGGCTAAAATGGTCAGAAACTCATTTCAACTGTGGATACTTCCGTTGGTGGAGAGCTTCTTTTGTAATCGTACTGGACATCTTACAATGTAATTGTCTCAACATATGAAGCACGGATACAGACATAGATACAAACACGGCAATTTCAAAAAAATGGGGATATAGACACGGCGGGGAAACACGGCAAATTTTTTTATATATATATTTATATATGCGTATTTGCAATGTAGATTAATATTATGTTATTAAACAATCAAAATTAAATATTTATAAAATTTATAAATATATAATATATAAATTTATAAAGAAAAAATTAAATAAAAATTAAAAATATAAAATAAATATTTATTAAAATTTATGATAAATATTTCTGTATATATTTATAAATAGAGTATAATTAGAAAATATAAATGAATAAATAAATAGAAGAGACGATCGGAGAGAGAGAGAGATGCAAGACAGAGAGAGATTGAAAACGTGAGAGAGAGACAGACGAGACGAGGGTGAAAGAAGATAAGAGAGAGAGAGAGAGAGAAACGAGAGGCGAGCCAAGTCGAAAGGTGATGGAGATCGATTGGAGAAACCACCGAGCAAGCTCCGGTGGGGTGAACTGGAGGAGGACGACGGCGAGGACCTCGATTTCCTTCTACCTCCGCGGCGAGTGATCGGACCCGACGAGAAAGAGCTCGACTGGAGATGGAGATCGAGATCAACTTAACAGCTTAGCACTTTCTCTTCTTTCTGTTTCTTCTTCTGATTTTGGATATAGGTCTCTTCTTCTCCTCTTTCTTTGAATGAGGGATTTTTGATTTAGGTCTCTTCATCGTGTCCCGACATGTCCCCGACGTGTCCCATTCCAAAAAAATAAATAAATGGTGTATCCCCGTGTCCAACATTGCTACAACGCCTATTTTGAAGTGTTCATGTTGCATAGGTCTCAACATTTGGGGCATGTAGTGAGGGCTCATTTTTAATTGGCTTTTTTGCTTCTTTTTTTTTCCCCCTAAAGATAATAAAAGGTCCTTCTAGAAGCTCTGAATAAATTTTATTTTAAAAAAATAAAAATAACGTTAATTGAAAAATGTGAATAAAAAAACCCGAAGAAAAGGCCATTAAATAGTCAAGCTGACTCCAAGCAAGCCTTGTCTAAATGCAGAAAACAATTAACAGATATGAAGTTTTAACATTGACCAATTAATAGATTATGTGGGGGAAATTATGTGTCGTAGGAGAATATTAGACATTGATTCTAGACTAGAACTAGTTCATACAAACACCCATCTCACATTTTAGGCTCTATTATGTAGGCAAGAAATGTGTAGGAAAATTGTTCTTTGGGAAAGTACATCAAAGTAATGGAAAAGATAACTTATTTTTCTACATCTCTTCATTTGTTCATTTTACAGCAAAGAAAAATTATGAGAAAAATATTTGTTTGGATATGTATTATATCAATTGAATGTAAAAACTTTGTATAAAAAAATATAATTTGTAATTACATGAAAATGAACTTGTGGAACAACAGCACCCTCATGAGCTTTCCATAGCACGTTCATGTCATGAATGCACTCTATTTATTTTTGTTAGGGAAAATCGATGTGATTCCCCACAAGTAAATCAATCAATGGGAATAAAAATTAATGCGGAAAAATTAAATCAAAGGCAACCAAGAATTTTTATTTGGTTCTCTCAATGTGAGGTACATCCACGGGGCCAAAATCCCATTCCATTATCAACCAAGAGTTTTCAAATGATTACAAATGAGTAACGAATGGTCTCACAAGCCACCCTTAGGTGAATTCCAAATAATCACAAATAAATAAGAGGAAAGACCTCACCAAATAGATGAACCAAAATCTTCAGAACTAAAGTTGGAGAAGACCAAAATAATAACCCAAACTAATCTCCAAAGCACCAGCCGAAACCACACTGAATGACCAAAGATTCAAACCAAAATTGAAGCACCAATCCACTTTAAACAAAGATGATCAATTACCATCAATGTGCTGCTGCCTCCCTTTTTCTCTTTGGTAAAAACAATATCTCACAAAGCAAAAGTGTATGCTGCTCCCGCTGGATATTTTTCCCCAAGCCACTTAAACAATATTATGAATCTAGGTCTTTTCAAAACCCTAGTGGTTACCAAATTAGATTAGGTCTCCACAAAATTAGATATAATATATAAAAATATATTATACCTAAACCAAGTCAAATTAAAATTCTTTTAGTAAATCAACTGGGTCCCACACTTCAATAAGGAGGTATATCCCAACAATTTTTACATTTTACATCAGCATTGTAATTTTGATAAAGATAGACAAAACACTGTGCTTTGTCGGAATAGAAGTTGAAATTGAAGGCCATTAATATTAATTTGATATTGTGTACTCTTTCTTTGATACTTCTTATTCGTGATTGTTAATGGTTACAAATTTGATATCAGTGAGTTGACAGCTTAAACTTCTTTTTAGAAACCACTACACACTCCACTTCACCTACCTCTACTCCACTACACACTCCACTTCACCTACCTCTACTCCACTCCTACTACCACATTACCTTCACCTACTCCACTACACACTCCACTTCACCTACCTCCACTCCACTACACACTCCACTTCACCTAACCCACTATCACCTCCACTACACCTACTACCACATTTTCTTCTATATATAGATTGTATAGGAATTGTAATTAAAAAAGCTTGTAATCTATCAATCAAGACATCAATCAATAATACATAAATTCTTACATGGTATCAGAGCAAGGTTAAGAATTTAATATTTTTTCGCTTCACCGGCGGGCGGCAACCTCGCCTTGGCCGCCCGCCGGACCTCAACCTAGTCCGCTAGAATTGTCTACTACATACCTACCTCCTCATCATATCTTCATAACATCTCATTCTCTCTCGGCATCATAGTAGCCGTGATACTGCTCATACTTCTGGACAGCGGAGAGAACATCGTCTTTCTCGATCTTTCCGCCGACGCCGGTGGCGAGATCCAAGGCTCCGGCTTTCGACATCACTCTCCCCAAATAGTCCATAGCAGCTTCTCCACCGGAAAGATACTCCTAACAGCAGCGGAAAAAAGGTGTTTCCCTCAGCCAAACAAGGCTCAATAGCTGTGGTCCTCATCAAAATACGTGTAATTGCTACTCCTGAACTTGGTTTCCCTATCCTTGCTAACAAGCTTCTCAAATGCTTCCGGGCCATGTTCTTCTATGTACTTCTCAGCAGCAGTTAGAATGTCATCTGGCTTACTGAAGATGTCCTTCTTCCTTGGGACATACCAGACGTTAACAGTCTGCTGTGGGTTAAGAAAGAAAGGCCTCAAATAATGCTCATAAACATATGCAGCACCACTGATACTCTTTATGATGGTGGATATTTCAATGCCATTACAACACAGCACCTTGAAATTTATTTTATTTTATTTTCTTATCTCTCTTTCTGACCATTACAACACAGCACCAGCACACTTGTTCCCACCTTTCATCATGGTCTCCACTTTCTTTTCCTTTTTTTATATTTATTTTAATCCATCTTTTTGAAAACAAAACCAATATCACTTTTTTTAATTCCTTAATTTATTTTAATAACATGAGTGGCCTCTCTTTTCCACCATCTCCCTCTTTTTCTACACAATATTTTTGTACCACCGCCCACTCCATGATTTCCATATTAATATTATTATTATTATTATTATTATTATTATTATTTTCACAAAAAAAAAATTCATTCCAGTTGATTTTTCTGCCTTACCACACCTACCATTCGAGTTTGCCAAACACACTTATTTTATTCATGTCAGGATCAACCCCGATCATAATTTTACACGAAAAAAAAAAAAAAAAAAACCACCATAACACACCCAACACCCACAGTGGGATTTTTCTTCTCTACTCTGCTGCAGATCTCTTCTTCTTTCCTCCGTCCTGGGCGGCCCTTGACGGTGCTGCCTCAGTGCTTCCTTGTCCACCGAGCACGTTCACTCCCCCATACTCCTCCACTGCAGCATATGGCGGACCTCCAAAACGGAACATCACGGTGGCCTTCCGCTTCAGTTCCTTGTTTTCCGCCTTTAGCACACTTATCTCTGCTCGCGCATCCTTATACATGCGTTGGAGCAGAGCCAGCTGGGAATTTAAATGCTGCACCTCATTTGTCCTACTCTGCAGCCGGTTCGACAAATTTGTGACCGCCGTCATGGTTTCCACGCATGACTTCAGAGTATACTGATTAGCCTCAATATCAGTTTGCACCGCCATTTTTTGCTCCACCGACCGCATCGGAAAGTTCAATGGAGCAAAAACAGAGGTGTTTGGTTGCGGTTCACTGGACACCGCACCAGTTATTTCTCCTGTGGGCTCGTTCAGTTCTGGAAAGAGAGTGAGCAGGTTCTGGGTAACTGGACGGGAAGAAGAGGCCATGTTTTTGGGTTGCTAAGTGTTTCAGCGAAATAGCAATTTCAGACTGGTAATGTTCGGAAGGGTTGGTGACAGAATGGCAACAAAGTGTTCCACAGTTTCTCTCTCCGCAGAGGCAGAGTTTTTTCAGCGAAGGGTTGGTTTCAGAGGTTTCAGAATGGTATGCCTCAGCCTCGGGTTAGGTTTAGTGGAGTAGGTGAGGTGGTAGTGGTGTAGTGGGTTAGGTTTAGTGGAGTAGGTGAGGTGGTAGTGGTGTAGTGGGTTAGGTTTAGTGGAGTAGGTGAGGTGGTAGTGGTGTAGTGGGTTAGGTTTAGTGGAGTAGGTGAGGTGGTAGTGGTGTAGTGGGTTAGGTTTAGTGGAGTAGGTGAGGTGGTAGTGGTGTAGTGGGTTAGGTTTAGTGGAGTAGGTGAGGTGGTAGTGGTGTAGTGGGTTAGGTTTAGTGGAGTAGGTGAGGTGGTAGTGGTGTAGTGGGTTAGGTTTAGTGGAGTAGGTGAGGTGGTAGTGGTGTAGTGGGTTAGGTTTAGTGGAGTAGGTGAGGTGGTAGTGGTGTAGTGGGTTAGGTTTAGTGGAGTAGGTTTAAGTGGGTGAAGTAGGTGATAGGTTTTAACAGCCCCCCGCAAACTCAAGATCCAAAAAAAAAAAAAAAAAAAAAAAACAAACAAACAAACAAACAAACAAACAAGCGGAAGAAGACGAACTGCACACTAACTTATTTTATTCATGTCGGGGCTCACCCTGATCACCATTTTACATGGTATCAGAGCAGGTTTAGAACCTAATATTTTCGCTTTACCGGCGGGCGGCAACCTCACCTTAGCCGTCCGCCGGACCTCAACCTATTCCGCTTATTTTCTACACATACCTTCCCATCATTGCCCAAATCCACCTGTCCAACCCAATTGCCGACCGGCTCCCATTCTGTGCTCACCACTACTACGCCGGCGACAAACACTCACACCACCACATATACTCATCATTCTCTGATCATCAATCATGGCGTTGAATGGACCCGGTTAGCTCCTTCATGGGTCCGATAAGACTCTGTAAACTGTCCCGACATTGATTCCGGTTAGCTCCTTCATGGGTCCGACAAGACTCTGTAAACTGTCCCGACATTGATTCCGGTTAGTTTCTATAAGGGTCCAGCAAGACTCTGTAAACTGTCACAACAACTGTCACAACATTGTCAGCTACAACGGTCCGTCATGACCCCATAAACTGTCTTCTACATCGGTCTGACACCACCATACAGTGTCTTCTACAACGTTATGACACCCCCATACAATGTCCTCTACAACGTTATGACACCCCCATACCGTGTCCTCTCCAAACGTTATGATACCGCCATCCAGTGTCTTCACCAATGGTCTGACACGACCATACAGTGTCACCTATCCTCTTTTATTTTTATGTATTTTCTTGTTTTGTAACTCTCTCCAAACTCAAGTTGGTTAGTTCCTATCCCCCTTGAGTTTGCGGGGGGCTGTTAAAACCTATCACCTACTTCACCCACTTAAACCTACTCCACTAAACCTAACCCACTACACCACTACCACCTCACCTACTCCACTAAACCTAACCCACTACACCACTACCACCTCCACTTCACCTACTCCTTACCTACTACACACTCACCCTCTTCTATATATAGGAATCATGAATCATTGTAATATATATAACATTATATCAATCAATAATATACATCAATTTATTTTACAGAGCTCGACTGGAGATGGAGATCGAGATCAACTTAACAGCTTAGCACTTTCTCTTCTTTCTGTTTCTTCTTCTGATTTTGGATATAGGTCTCTTCTTCTCCTCTTTCTTTGAATGAGGGATTTTTGATTTAGGTCTCTTCGCCGTGTCCCGACATGTCCCCGACGTGTCCCATTCCAAAAAAATAAATAAATGGTGTATCCCTGTGTCCGACATTGCTACAACGCCTATTTTGAAGTGTTCATGTTGCATAGGTCTCAACATTTGGGGCATGTAGTGAGGGCTCATTTTTAATTGGCTTTTTTGCTTCTTTTTTTTTCCCCCTAAAGATAATCAAAGGTCCTTCTAGAAGCTCTGAATAAATTTTATTTTAAAAAAATAAAAATAACGTTAATTGAAAAATGTGAATAAAAAAACCCGAAGAAAAGGCCATTAAATAGTCAAGCTGACTCCAAGCAAGCCTTGTCTAAATGCAGAAAACAATTAACAGATATGAAGTTTTAACATTGACCAATTAATAGATTATGTGGGGGAAATTATGTGTCGTAGGAGAATATTAGACATTGATTCTAGACTAGAACTAGTTCATACAAACACCCATCTCACATTTTAGGCTCTATTATGTAGGCAAGAAATGTGTAGGAAAATTGTTCTTTGGGAAAGTACATCAAAGTAATGGAAAAGATAACTTATTTTTCTACATCTCTTCATTTGTTCATTTTACAGCAAAGAAAAATTATGAGAAAAATATTTGTTTGGATATGTATTATATCAATTGAATGTAAAAACTTTGTATAAAAAAATATAATTTGTAATTACATGAAAATGAACTTGTGGAACAACAGCACCCTCATGAGCTTCCATAGCATGTTCATGTCATGAATGCACTCTGTTTATTTTTACATTTTACATCAGCATTGTAATTTTGATGAAGATAGACAAAACACTGCGCTTTGTCGGAATAGAAGTTGAAATTGAAGGCCAGTAATATTAATTTGATATTGTGTACTCTTTCTTTGATACTTCTTATTCGTGATTGTATCTCCTTAATGGTTACAAATTTGATATCAGTGAGTTGACAGCTTAAACTTCTTTTTAGAAATTTTTGTGTTCGGTCCTGTTTATTGTTTCTTCTAAACTTTCGAAACGTATGGCTCTATGGTTGCCACTTTCTAGTGGATCCTTCATATAAGAAACTTTAAAGTTGTGGATTCACTGTGTATTCGTATAGTTTGTGATCACCCAAATAGTTTGTTGCAGTAGCACCTTGAGACATCAGATGAATGCTTTGTCTTGGTTTACTGTTCTTATAAACAAAATTTTGGGTGCTCAACAATCTTTACACTTGCTGGAATAGAAGAAACTCTGGTGTAAGACTGATTAATAAATTTCTAAATCTTTGTTTAATCAGTTTCATGAGTCTACTTCCTGGCCACAGATCTAATTTGTGTTCTCGTTCTCTCTTCGACAAATTCTCTTGAATCTCTCTATGACTATGAGTATCTGAATGAAGACAACAAGATCCCAATAACTGGTTTTCCCTTGCTCATCCATTACAACACTTTCTTGAAGTCTTCATCTTCGGTCACTAAAACTGTTTGACAATTGTTCTCCACACTTTGCCCGTTAGTTGTGTGTTCAAGCCTCCAGACTTGACCAATGTTTCATTCCAGCTACCGAGGCTGAACAGTTGATTACCTTGCAGATTCTTGATAATTTTCTGGGACAATGGATACATCAAGATTACACACATCTTCATTTTGGGGTTGTTCATCTTGCTCTGTACCTTTCATGGTAGAAAAGGTCTCCGGTGGTCTCTCGCATTGCTCTCATGGATATTAGATTCCACAAATACCAACATGCCTGTTTTGCAGCAGTTCAAACAAATCTTTAGTCAGGCACAATTCTTTTGACTTTTTACCTAAATTTCAACATGCCTCTAACCCGCACCGTCTTTCTGCACCTTCATAGTACAAGGATAAATTGGTGGCATTTACAACATATGCCAAAACAATGCCTTTGATATGTCTTTTCCAACTTCTACTGAAGATGCTTTGATGCTCACCGTAGATTCTCCACAGCAGGGCACTTCTGTTCATATATTCCCTGCCAACTCTCACAAGCAGAACTCATTAAGTAATTTTCAGACGCCTGGATCACAACTTATGAGCAAACTAGCTAGTCCAATCAACAAATCCTCACTATACTATTTTCCCAAATGGTTCAGTGGAAATCACCTTCCTCAAAGGTGGCCCCGATAAACGCACCTATAATTTTCACTCCTGAAATCAACATTTGTGTTAGAGAAATTGTCTATTTGGGACAGGGTATTCACCTTTTTGTCTCGTCTATTTCTGGGAACACTGTTGGGCATTATAACCCTTTTGCTTACAAATGTAACAACAAATCGGACTTGTGTTTTCCTGTGAATGGTTTCTTTTTGAAATATTGCCATTAATGTTTGCGAGAGGAGAAATGTTTGTAGAAAAATGGTTTAGAGGACTTTTTTAGAATTTTCGATTTTGAAAGTGGGAATGCAGTGGTTGTTTCTTGTTGTAAGTGAATGCAACAAAAAGACCCGCAACCCTCAGAACCACACACTGGCCACCATCACTATCCATAAATCTTCACCTATTGTTATCTCAACCCCACCTTTTGGGTCAAAGCCTACACCAAAGTTGCCTAATAGCTTAGCAAGACTAATAAAGTAGTGAATCCCATTCTCAACTAAACCAAGTTTCGAGTGGTAGCCTAATCAAAGAAGTTGTTGAGCTTTTATAAAATCTCAACGTGGGATAGAGGAGGTTTGGAACCCTCAGCTCCCCCTTTTTGCCTTATTTTCTTTCTCGCGAGAATCCATTTCTTTTCTTGTAGTGTTATTATGATTAATTTGCAGTTCAAGGGCACTTATTTCACATCTTCCCAACGTTCTTTGCCCGAATTAGAAAGAAACATGCAAACAACACCAACATGTGCAATGTTCGGTCGTGTACAAAAGACGAAGTTTGTTCGAGAATGGCCAACCCCCAAGTCACTGACGGCACAAGAACCTCCCCCTCTTTCCAATCAAGATAGATGGGAAGGCGCCCTATCAAGTAAAGGCCATAACCAAGCTCTTTATTTATGTATGTACACCATTGTTTCAGGACGGGGCCGCCTTTCCTCTTGCTAATCTAACCACACCACTAAAGATCAACACCAATATTGTAATGTGATTTGCATACCGAGCGTATTTCCAAGTTCCTCATCATTCGACCTCTTTATTCAACTCGTCTTTCTTTGTTGGAATCGAACCTTACTTGTGGAACTAGGTAAAGGTTTAACGAGCCTGGCAGACAATCCCTTGAACTGCCAAGCAAAGACGGATGGAATGAACAACGAAACTTTACAACAATTTTTTCATACAGATTCACTTGCATCACATACACAAGTGCTCTCTGAACCATGAAATAAGATCACCCAAGACTAGACCATACTAAAGTAAAGAGGCATTCAGGAAGTGACTAGTTTTTGAGGTAAGCATTGACACTTTTTGTCCTTGAATTTGAGTTTGAGCTCAAGACGCTCGCAAGCATTACCCAGAAGTTTGTAGTTGAAAGAGAGTTTATTGAGATTTTAGGTCCTCGCAAAATATTGTATTTTTTGCGTGATTTGTTTTGAAAGAAAACTTAACCTAGTGAGTTGGGTAAGGATAGTGAGTCTACAAGTTTCCTAAATAGTTAAAAATATGAAACAATTGATTTTCCGTACTTGACTATAGTTCTCTTTTCTTTCTTGACTACTGAAGGGGGGCTTGCATGAACCAGTCATGATTTTAAAAATGTGTATTTTCCATCAAATTTGATGAATTTGTTTGAATAATTTATTTATTTATTTTTTTTATAACTTTTTATGTTGAATTTGAAAATTTCCTCTATTTTAGTTGTTTGTTTATCAAATTTGACTGAATTTTCAGAATTGCAGCCCAATTTGAAGAAATTTGCCCAACTTTCAATTGAGTAAATAAAAATATTTAAAAAATTATTTCCTTAAGTTCCTGTTTCAAATATTTCAAATATTCCATTTTTTTTTTTATTGGATTTGCTAATTTTAATTTTAACCAATTTAAGTTCAGTCAACAAGTCCAAATGTGGATTCGAGTTATAGATTGCAACTTTGTATAGCGGCAATGGTGGTGGTGGTAGTGGTGGTGGTGTTGGTGGTAAGGTGGTGGTTGTGGCAATAGTAGGGCGGTGGTGGTGGTGGTGGTAAGATGGTAGTTTTGGTGGTGATGGCGGCAATAAGGTGGCAGTGGTGATGATGACGGTATGGAAGTGGTGGTTATGGTGGTGGCAACAGTGGTGGTTGGATAGTGGAATAGGAGTGGTGGTGATGCAAGTAGATGATCATAGTAGCCAACAGAGGACTGAAGATGAATAGACACTTGTTTTTTTATGGTTTCATGATGGAATGGTATGTCTATTCGTTGGAGAATGAATAAGTATCACTTTTTTGTTGGAATGACCTTTCCAATGGAATGATTATTCCCACTTATATGAGGTGTATCAAACAAGAGAAATGAAATGCAAAGCTAGAACAAGCATTCCATTTCAGTTCATTTTATTATGCCAAACATGCTTTTAAATTGAGAAATTTGATGAGAAATTATAAGAAACAAAGCGAAGAAAAACATTTTTCTAATGTTTGTTTTATAAATTTATTTGAGAATTGGTGAGAAATGGTAAGAGATACTTTCTTGTTTTTTGAGTTTTATTTATCACCAAAATTAGTAAGATTGGGTGCGAAACAAATTGATTGGCTATAAACTTTTCATAATGCTGAGATTTCCTATTAAAATACAAAGAAATTAAATTTCATACAGAATTTTCATACTTAATGATGTGGCTCAATATGCACCTTTAACTTTAAAATAAAACACTCACAAGGATGAATTATTTACAATAATGGCATTTCTATATTATTCCTAAAAAAAAGTAATATAAATTTTATGTATGATAATTCCCATCCCTATATCATATACTTCGCTTTCTTTCTAATTCTAATTCAAATATGATATTGAGAAAATTAATTTCTTCTATTTTTTTCACTTGAATGAGAGAGCAAAATCATTTCTTTGCTTTTCTTACCTTGTGATCCAAACGGAGTGTAAGTGGTCATATGAGGGAATACTAAGGTGTCAATGAAGTGAGATCTCAAGTTCAAATTAATATCGTGACGTAGCTTATTACCATATTAACATGTAGCCAAAATAAAATAGTCCAAATGTGAATTTACATGAATTTTGCATATAGGAATCTTTTAAATAAATAATATATATGTATATATATGTATATTATGTACATACAACATGCATTGTAATACTTGTGTATAAGGTAAAAAGATTAGGGCAAAATTTATTTTACTCTCTTATAGTTTGAGGGTAGAGCACTTTGCCCCTTGTAGTTCAAATATAGTCAAAAAGTCGCATGTGATTTTGGATCAAAGTACAACTGTTAATTATAGATATGAAATGGGTATAATGCCTTCAAATATTATACTTTTTTTGTTATTGTCTTTGACTCTCCTCTCTCATGCACATAATTTATAATGTGTAACATTAATCCATTTAAATCACAATCAATCATAAATTCTTAATTATTTAGTGTAATTCTTAACTTTGTATTCTAATTTTAATTTAATTATATTTTAGATCACAATTAAACCTAAATCCTCAATTATTTTTATTGTAAATTCTTAACTCTTTTTCTAATTTTAAATAGGGAGCCACTATTCTCACTCAACTTTATTCTAAACATACTCCCTTATTTATCATTATTATACATAGTTATATTAATACGTTTGAAATTTTGATTTTTTTAGGAATGTATTTTGTGTGAAAGGATATTAATGTAACTATGTATGATAAGGACAAAGAAAGAAGTGTATTTAGAGTAAAGTGGAGTGGGAATAACGACTCCCTTTAAATAATCCTTAATTTTAGGTTTGGAGAAAATGAGTGTGAAATTGTATTTTTGTTGAGTTAATTTCACTTTATTTTTTAAAGCATCAAACCCACTCTCAGAAATGGCATGTATGATACATCTTCTATTAGTTTGGATGGAAAAATTAATGGTGGCACTTTAGTCCAAAATCAAATGGGAGCTTCCGGACTATATTTGAACTAGAGCTGCAAATGAGCCGAGTCGAGCTTTAAAATATTTGAGCTTGTTTATTAAGATTTAACGAGTTCGAGTTCGAGCTCGAGCTCAATAAAAATTTAATGAACTGAGCTTGAGCCGAGTTGTCTTAGGATTGACTCAAGCTCGAGCCTATTCACGAGTTTTAATGAATTAAAGAAATCATAAATTTATACTTGCGTATGAGACTAAAATTATAATTAAACTTTGATTATATAATTATATATACAATATATATAATCATACTTAATGAAAAGTCAATATCTTGTCAAAATAATAATATTTACCACCGCTATTATATAAATGTATTATCTATAGTTAGCTATTATGTACATATAAATAAATTTAACTATTATTTACATTTACATTATTTAAATTTATAAATAATATATTTATTTTATTGTTTATACATATTTTTACGTTATTAATATATAAATAATATATTTATTTTACTATTTAAATAAATATTAAACAAGCCCAAATAATGAGTTGAACTTTAGTATCTTTAGATTTGTTTATTAAGATTTTAATGAGTTCAAATTTGAACGCAATAAAAATTTAACGAACCGAGTTTGAACGAACCCTTATCGAGTTGAGCTCGAGTTTGTTCACGAACTATTCTGTTCATTTGCAGTCTTAAGGGTTGGTTTGAGATGTTCTAAAAAAGTGTACTTTTTGACTTATTGGCTTATATGGGTTGGGTTTGGATTGGGTTTGATGTGATGTGTTAGAGAGGTGATGTGATTTAAATAAAATGATGTGACTTAAATAGGATAGTGACTTTTTGACTTTTTGTATTATTTAATTTATGCCAAACCAACCCTTAATTTGAATCAGAGGGGGTAAATTGTTTCATTTTTAAACCATGAGGAAGTAAAATAAATTTTAACCAAAAGATTATTACTAAGACCCAGCAAAGAAGGGCCCTGGAGAGCCCCTCTCTCTCTCTCTGTGTCTCTCTCTCTAAGTGATTTTCGGCACCAAATTGATGACTTTTTGACATCTTTTCAGTGAACTCCAAAAATATTTCGATAGTGTAGATCTGAATTTTTTATGCCTAAGAAGAAGGGTTTGAGAGTTTCTCTCTTAATTTTTGACATAGATTTTTGAATTATTGATACCCACAGTGGTCCCCTCTTTTCTCAATCCTTCTCCTTTACTGTTGTAGATCGTATTTGCTTCTGACGGTAACTGAAGTTTAGCAATGAAGTTGGACAGTGGATGTAGGGACGACGATGAAGAGGAGTTTGGGATCCATTTTGATGCGGATCTTATTTTTTTTAAACCACATTT